TACTGCAGCTTTTCCAGCGGTTGGATGTAAACGGAGCTGTCTCGTGTAGCTTGACACAATCCGGTGTATATTGCGTGTGGGCGGAAGCTTTTTGGCGTTTGCGTTTGCGTTACTCCTATGCGTTTTGCCGTATGCGTTCCCGTGGCCTCAATGTTTCGTTTCCATAGGTGGGTGGGTACTCCAGTGCCTCCTTGCTTCTGATTGGCTAGTTTGCCCTATGCTTGCGCTGTACTCTTCAAAATAAAGGTTCATACTCTTTGCAGAGTGCGTGTTTGCACGAATATACATTGAATATATGGCTACATGCAAAACATACAGAAGACAGTCTGTCCGTGTGTGGGTGCGTATGTGTGTGCGCGTCTGTCGGTCTGTTGGTCTGTTGTCTGTCTGTCTGTCTGTCTCGCGATCTGTCTATCTGGCTGTCTGTCTTGCACTGTCAGCCATGAATCCCTATCTTATAAAGTATGAGTATCTCTCTGTTTGATGTTACTGACACTGCTGAATTGATGCGGCCGTATTTCCCGTTTGCGTGGTCAAGTCAGCATCGAGGTTTTTTTCTTCAAATCTATATTAAAAGCTTGGAGGTTGAGGATTGATAAATACTATTTAGAGTACTTTTACTGTGTACTCTGTCAAACTCCCCTCTTGAGTACAATAATGCATGTTTTCTGCTATCTTTGATGAGAGATAAAATGATGTTCTGCCATAAATTCTTAATGAGAGTGATACTGTTTGACTCACTAATTAACTACACCAACAAGTACTTTTTCAGGTATTCTTTTTCAAATTCCCCTCCTTAGTACAAGAATGCATCTTAAATAAAAATGTGTCATTAGACTTATATTGTTGGACAGAGTATTTTAAGAGGATATGGTAGACATGATATCAGCACTACTTCCAGTCAGTACTCCAGCAGCAGCTTTTACCCCTTGGGAAATCTTCAGAGAATATCCTGCATAGCTGGTCTATCCTTCAGCAAAGTGACACACCCTGTCACTCTTGTTGGCCTCTTATGATGATGCTGTCTTAACCTTTAACAGCCAGCGCCACCATTTGGTAGAGCACATTTTGTGTTTTGATATCTTGTTGAAAAATAAATAAAAAAGTGTAACTCCATCTGATTCAGCCAGCTCTATCGTTTGGTTGACATGTTATGCACAAAAAACCTCTAGATGTCACTGTGGTTCGAACAGAATGCCCTTCAGCTAGCTTCCACTGAGAAAGTTGGCATGCTAAAAATCACTCCTGAAGAAATCACTCTTTTTGGTCAACTTTTGTAAGGTAACCATATCATTTTTGACATATTTTAGTGTCAGAGCACTTACTGAACATATTATATAACTTGATGCACAAAACATTTTTGTAACAAGGGTGTAATTTTTTTGAAAATATGCTCAACCAACTGGTCGAATTGGCCTTTATTAAACTAGCAATACGACTTTTTCAGAGTTTCAGAGATGTTTTCCAATAAAATATGGTAAATAAATGGCTAGATTCATGGTAATATTACTAAATCTAGTACTGCCTTATGAGTCTCAGAGTGAAAGAGCGATAATAATTTATATAGCACCTTTCATGCATGAAATGCAGCCCAAAGTTGCACACACATGAGCAAGTTAGGCCAACACAGGATATAGACATTTGCTGTTAGGCCAGTTGTTTGTTGTTAGGCCAAACTTTTTATAAAAACACTTTCCATTACTTTTTTCCATTTCTTTTTTGTTTTACAATATAATTTTTATTTTTTATGAATATATCTGGTTGTATATATTGCTCATCTGTGTTTGTGTTTTTGAGTTTGATGCATACAAATACTGTACTATATGATGATTGTTGAAAATGCACTTTTGCCAAGGCCAGCTCGACCAGTTGGTAGAGGCTCATAAAAAAAAAATGTGTGGTCAGTAAAAAAATAAAAATGGTTTGTGGTTATTTGTCCTATTTGATAAAAAATGCAAAGAAATAATTTGTCCATAGATTTCTTCTTGGTCTGGCAATTAAAGGGTTAAAATATGATTATTTCTCTGCCCCTAGTTCGTTCCTCGCAGATTCTTCAGTCTCATCAGCCTCATCTTTCCATCTGTCCCAGTCAACGCATCAGCCTCCAGCACACTTTCAGTGTCTGACTCCATAGAGATATTGTCCTGATGCTGTACAAGGGTGATGCCCCATGATCAAAAATGACCCTGCCACTGACCTCTACATGTCACTTGTTAGTTGCTTTTACCTTAAAGCGACTTACATACACTCAATACTGTGGACAATCCTCACAGGAGCTATTTGGGGTGAAGCCCAGGGACACAACGACATGCTGACTGCAGTGGGATTGAACCAGTCCCCCCTGATCCGAAGATCAACGCACGATCAGCCACAGCCTCCCTAGCCATATTATGTCTCTCATTAATACATCACCCCTTATAACAATTTTCTTTCCTTTCTTCTCTTTTCTCTTCTCTTGACTGAATTAAAAAGTCCAGTCTTTAAGTAATATTTGAAGTCCTTTTCCTGCACCTTTTTAAGGCTATGTTTGCAATATGTATTCAAAGGTCACTTATTTAAATAAATCAATATCTGAGGTTAGCAAACAGATACTGCCTTTATCTAGAGAGCCAATGACACCCATGAAGAATTGCAAATCTTTTCATCTGCTGTATTAATAAAATTGCCATGTGTTTTCAAATTGAAAATAAGGCACCAGAACATTATACAAAATATTATATATTTTAAAAGGGACCCGTAAGGCTTAATCAATGTTATATATAGATCTTTATATAATATCAATATTATAATAAACTTCAACCAAAGTCAATTTCAGGAGTGGTGTTTGACACAGTTTACGTTCAATTTCAACTATTTCTTATACTCAACCTTTTTAAATAATTTACTTTCATTTAGAAAAGGTTTTTCTGAGAAAAATGTACTAAAAATTGAAAAATACAAGTTTAATAGGACATGTGGATCTATTTTCTCTCACCTTGTAATTACACAATCAAAATCTATAATACGGCTTTGGACTTCACTCACCAAAACATTTGTTTTTATGTTTTGCATTTGTACTATTTTGTAGTCAATTTGGACAAATATCTTTCGAACTAAAAATATCCTATGATTGCATATGGTGTGAATATGTATATGCTCACTCATTATTTTAGGTACAATTTATATTTTAAATGTAATGAAAAAGCCAACTCAATAGTTTGTTAAAAATAGACTTTAGGATATTGTAAAACAAAAAACAGCTATACTGTATAATGTATTCTTAACCCTCCTTTATCTTCACATTTACTTTACACCCTCTATCCTTGGTGGTCATTTTGACCCCAGGAGTTTAAAGCTCAAGAAAATGATCATATTCAAAATTGTTACCAAAATGTACGTTTCAAGTACTTTATGTTTCTTAGTTGACTATCTAAATATCCATTTAAATAAAACACTACTAGCCATTTTCATTACATTAGCAGCACTAAACGTACCCTGTCAACAGGAGCATCTGCATGGGGTATTCAGGGTGGACAATTTGACAGAGGATTCTCTGAAGTACAAAATAAAAGTATTTTATAGTCTTTGCGCTAGTAGTCTAACTACTGGGTCCAAATGATCAGTCTTCTTAAGAACTTAAAAGTATTTGTATTGCTCGTCACATATAGCAGCAAGACAGGCATGTGTACCATGGAGGGGACTTTGACAGGAGAGTATCAAGAAGTACACAGTAAAGGTATTTCATAGTATTTGGGATAGATTGTAACTACAACTGATTCCAATTCATCAGTCTTATGAAAAACGTATCGCCAAAATAATGTTATCGCTCATCAAAGATAGCAGAAGCTTGTCATTTTTGCACTGTGTAAAGGCAAAGAGTTAGAACCTTTATTTTGAAGAGTACAGCGCAAGCATAGGGCAAACTAGCCAATCAGAAGCAAGGAGGCACTGGAGACACACCCACCTATGGAAACAAAAAATTGAGTGGTATACTTGTTTTAACAGTAAAACAGAAAACGAAAAAACGAGCTGAATTGCCGTTTTTTCCGTTTTGGGGGCAAAATTGAAAAACAAAAAACGACCCGTTTTCTGTGTTTTTTTTTTTGTTTCAATTAGAACTAAAAAACAAACGGTTAAACGTACCTTCGTCGTCATGACCGAACCCTGAACAAATCACATTTCTGAAAAAATTCTAAATGTTGTTTTTTTAAAACAATGAAGACAGAACTCCGAAAAAAAAAAGTCTAAAAAAAATGATTTCTGAAAAATTTAAAAAAAAAAAAAAACAAAAAAAACAAAAAATAAAAAAATAAAAACCACAAAACTGAAAAAAGTGAGAAATACAAAAAAAAATATTTTAAAAAAAAGTCAAAATTCAAAGAAAAATTCAAATTTCTCAAAAATTGTAATAATCAAAATTATTAAAGTTAGATTTCGGAAAAAAATTCTAATTGTTTTTCTCGTAGTTTGTAAAGAGCTCTGAGGGTCGAAGAGACCTGATGAAGAGCTGTATCAGTACAAGACATTTACCATGTGATATAAAGTACAATAACATACATTTAAAGTAATTAAACTGTCATTTCTTTAACTCCTTATGAAGCCCCGTCCTCTTCCTGTGACTTTACAGAAATCCAGAAAGACAAACGACACCGGGGAAACTCAGATTACACAAAACTAGAAAGAGAAATATACAAGAGAGAAAGAAGTAGTGTTTTTGTACGGAGGATCTCAGAAGAGATTCCTGTATCTCAGAAATCTGACTTTACTTTTAAACCCTCACATTTTCCTTTGCTTTTGGTCACGTGACCCTGATCCTCTTCTGTATTCTGACCCGATGACAGCAGGTAAATTAAATATATTTCCCACTGCAGCTGAATGGTTTCTTCCCAGCACTTTATTCAGGGACTTCAATCCTTGACCAAAAACGCTCGTTAGCATCTATCTACGATGGTACGATGAGTGAAAGTAATTTGAGTTTTATATATTTAATTGCCTTTTATTACTTTATTGACCACACAAGTTTTCATTTGGCATATGTTCATTCTTAAAAGGTAGGGTAGGTAAGAATGGAGAAACCAGCTCGAGTGTGCAAGAATTTGAAAATACACAACCGGAAAAAATCTGCCACTTCCTTCCAGAGCCCCTCCTCCAACACACACGAACGCGCACATGACCAATGAGGGCACGAGATAAGTTGTGCACAGATGGAAGGCTGACAGGCAGGTAGGCCATCCAGTTATTTTAGCCGGGCCGGCTCAGATGATTGGTCGTGCTTTTTACAGTATTACGGCTTCTACAGATGACATTTTTTTATGTATTTATTGTCAAAGCACTTCAGATATTCATTGCTATCGGGATGTTAAGAGCATTCCATGGAATATAACAAAAAGTGTTTCTGAAGTGAATTACCTACCCCACCTTTAAATCTAAGATGTGTAAAGTAATACAAAATAAAAAGCAGGTATATTTTTAGATGCTTAAAAAAAAATGTACATTTAAGTAAATAATTAACAAGATATTTAGAGCATCAGTTCAAGTAGAAGTCATGTTGTCAGTGTTATCGTAACAAATACATGTCATACTCTCCAGATGTCCTTTGTATTCAGTAAAGTTAGACGTTATTTACCGTTTGGCATTTTGACGACACATTGATGGATTCTGAGTTCATAAATCCAAGAGAATCCTTGCTCACCAACACGGCAGCCACATCGTTTCTCCTCCAACTCTCATGTGAATCTTTGAACTTTCACTTCGTCTAAAAGATGTCTCACAATCTGAGCAGCTGAAAGGTTTCTCCTCAGTGTGAACTTGCAAGTGTTCAGACTACATCTGAGTAAATAGGCTTGTTTGAGATGAGTGAGACCAACGCAGACCTGCGCAATTGCGATCGCCGTCTTGAGAGCGAGGCGGAGCAGTTTCTCTCCACGAGCTGCGGAAGCGAAATGCTTGATGGGAAACGACTCGCTGGTATCTCGAGCTGAGCGCTCATTGGTGGTTTTTACCCCGTGCTGGTGATGAACTCTCCATTGGCTCCGCAAAAGTTTGTTTTTGTTTTGTGTCAGTTTTACGTCGTCACTTCCATTCACATTTTTCATCATTGTTCCACAATGTTTATCATCATGAAATTAATATCTATATATTTATACTATACTTGCACTGCTTACCTTTTTCATACTTTATATATCTTAGCATATTCATACACACTGTTAATACTGTTCACAGGCTGCTGTGTATATCTAGTGTATTCATACCCCTCACTGTTTATTCATCATTCAATTCATTCTATATTTTATTCTGTAGATTGTGTACATTACTTTTCACTTTACTCCTTGTTGCACTCCTGGTTAGAAGCTAAACTGCATTTCGTTGTCTCAGTACCTGTAATCTGTGCAATAACAATAAAGTTGAATCTAATCTTGAGCAGGAACAAAAGTATTTACTTAGCACATATCTGACATTAACGATTAAACACACTTGTGCATGTTTTATAAATGCAAACTGGTCAAGACCACTGACGGAAGTAGTTTTGAAAAGTAATAAGTGGTTCTGTCTTTTACATGTAGGATTCAACCCCCCTTGTATTGATTTGTTTTAAAATGAACAGACACTTTGAGTCATTCATTTGTAGTGATATAATAATTGTGGGATTTCTATTGCATCCACTTCATCTGCAACGAAGAACGCCAGCGCAACTTCCGCCATTGCAAACCGAGTCAAGCCGACTCCGAGCTGTCCGACTTCAGGCAAGCTTTTTGAGACCCCCCCCCCCCCCGCTGCAATCGGCTATTCTCGTCTACTTTCGAGGCGAGCCGCAGCTCATCTCAAACAAGACGAATATCTTCCACTTCTCAGTTAGCAGCCGAGGGGTTTCTCTCCGGTGTGAACCTGCATGTGAAGGTTTAATTCCCCCCTCTGTGTATATCTGTTGCTACACAGAGGGCAGCTGAATGGTTTCTCTTCTTCATGGACTCTCAGGTGAATCTGTAAATGTTCACTTTGTGTAAAAGATTCCCCACAAACTGAGCAGCTGAATGGTTTCTCTCCGGTGTGAACATCCATGTGTCTTGTCACATGACTCCTGCGAATAAACCTTTTACTGCACAGTGCGCAGCTGAAGGGTTTCTCTCCGCTGTGAACTAGCATGTGTCTCGTCACATGACTCCTGCGAATAAACCTTTTACTGCACAGTGAGCAGCTGAAGGGTTTCTCTCCTGTGTGAACTAGCATGTGTCGATTCAGAGCACTCTTCTTGCATAATGTTTTCCCGCACTGAGAGCATTTACAGCGTTTCTTTGCAGAACTACGCCTTGAATCACTGACGGGGACTCGAGAGTTTGAACCTGACGGAGGGTCTCTGGTCTCCTTCCAACCGGCACTGTCTTCAGTGTCAGGTTCAGAAGAGTCTCCAGGGTTGTCCTCAGTCTCTGGTTGTAAACGTGTCTCTGGATCGGAGTTCTTGGCTGGTTCTGGTCCTCCACAGTCCTCTCCATCAGCTTCTGTTTGTCTCTGATGAAGCTGAGAGGACTGAGGTTTCTCTTCATCATCTTCACTCTTCACAGGGACAGGAGTGAATGTTGACTTGTTGTTATCATCCTCCTCCAGCCCTTGAAGCTTCTCTCCCTCCTGACTGATCCAGCGTTCCTCCTGTTCCTCTTTAATGTGTGGGGGGGTCTCAGGGGGAAACTCTTCTTTAACCTCCACCAGTTGGACGTCTGCAGGAAACAGGAAACAGAGACGTTACTGAGAATAGCTGTTGTGTTCATTACAGCTTAAAATCCCCTTCTTTGTTAAGCTCCAACGTTATCAGTTTTCCTATCGGTATAAACAAAATAAAAAAAGTATATAAAATAAATGTAATTGCGCCCTCTTGCTCTCGACGTGCGCCCTCAAACTAAAATGCAGATTTCCCCCGTAAAATGTTAGTGATTCCAGAAAACAATATTTCTGTTCCTCAGAAACTGTAACTCCTCCAGAAATCTGAGAATCAAACAGAGCGTCAGACGGCAGAGACTGCTTTGTTTTTACGGAGCTCCGACGTCACGTTGTTGTTTACGTCACGTTGTTGTTTACGTCACGTTGTTGTTTACGTCACGTTGTTGTTTACGTCAGGAGATATCTTGTTTACGGGCGACATGTTCTCCAGAGATTTTATATATCTTATAAACAAGATCAGAGCCACAGTACTCATACTACATCTTTCTAGAAACACCCTGCAGTTGCTGAAGATGTTTCTTCATGTGTTTTGGAAAATCTGTGTTTTCATATCTGCATCGTTAAACATCTACCGTAGAGATATTTAAAGTTGCACGCATGAAGGACAGACCCTACCAAAATAAAACATATAGTATATATATATATATAAACTAGGGCTGTCAGTCGATTAAAATATTTAATCGCAAATGAATCGCACATTTTGTATCTGTTCTAAATGTACCTTAGAGGAATATTTTTCAAGTTTGTAATACTCTTATCAACATATAAGTGGACAAACATGCCACCCATTTAGCTATCGCTGTTGTTGTCCAGGCGTCTCACCGACAAACTTTCAAGCGTGGTCTGCTGCAAGCGAGCGGCAGGGGCGGGGCTGTCAGCATCAGCTGTGTGCTTGGCTTGCTGTTTAAAACACCTTTTTTTGTATCCATATCTCTCGCTAGAATCTCCCACCATCCAACTAACAACAACAACAACAACGTCAAGCCTTTGGGCTCTGAAACTACGGGGCGGGCCGAGGACAAATACACATGCGTTAATCGCACGTTAAAATAATTAGTGGCGTTAAAAATTGTTTGCGTTAACTTGGGGTGTAACGGTTCACAAACATTTCGGTTCGGTACGTACCTCGGTTTTTAGGTCACGGTTCGGTACGTTTTCGGTACAGCAGAAAAAATGATCACAAAACATAAAATATTTTTTGGGGGTTTTTAATTATTATTAAACTGTGAATAATGTATTCACTCAAATACAAAATATAATAAAATAAACATTAAGGTGCAGCGTTTCGATGAACTGAAATAATCTGTATTTGAACGTTACTGTAGGCCTACTAGTACTCACAAAACATAAAATATTAGTTTTGGGTTTTTAATTATTATTAAACTGTGAATATTCACTCAAATGCAAAATATAATAAAATAAACATTACGGTACAGCATTTCGATGAACTGAAATAATCTGTACTTGAACTGTTCTGTGCTAGTTTGTCATTAGGACTTGCTTGCTTGTCATTGTATTTTCATGTTTTTTTTAAAGAAAGATGAACTTGTCCACATTGCTTGCCGAAAGGGCAGATCTGCTGGCACTAACAATGTCTCCTGCTGTGGAGAACACCCTCTCGCTAGGGACAGAGGTAGTAGATACAGCCAGGTAGCGCTTTGCTAACATGGCAATGGACTTTTTGCGAGTGTTGGAGGCTTAAATGCTAGTGGGAGTTGGGTTTGCATTTCAGTCATTTTTCTTTTGGTACCGGTGATATTCACGTTCGGGTGATGCCTTTTCAAATGAGTGTGCAAGTTTGATGTATTGCCAGCCGCGTAATCAATTTTAGTAGAACAATGCCGACAAACAGCTTTGGTTCGGTCCACCTGTCGTTGTCCGTCATCCTTGTACGTAACTGCGAAACCAAAATGTTCCCAAACCGGAGACTTCAATGATGCTGGAGGATTTTCGAGCTCAACTTTATCTACGTTCGCCATTTCGACAGTTCCCCAACTACTGACTAAATTTGAACGCATCCCTGTGACCAGCTCTCATAGTATGCCTCTCGTCCAATTAAATGACTTGGTCGCTCTATGACGCGTTGAAATTACACTGAACGCTGCGTTCCTGCAGCCCCGGAGCATGGGCTGCAGGAACATGCTACTCGAACGCTGCGACGCAGCACCTGAGATTACTTCCAAAAAGTTTTTCACGTTCTCAATTTTTTACGCTTAACGTTATATTTGTTCGGTACACTTCGGTACACTTCGGTACACACGTGTACCGAACCGAAGGGCCCATACCGAATATTTTCGGTACGAATACGTATACCGTTACACCCCTAATATATATATATATATCGGGACAGTTTCATCCCACAGACCATGAGTCTATTAAACACCTGAACCTTTTAAAGAACATCCATAAACATTCATCTGTCTGCAACTTAAAATGATGTATCTATATATCAGATTCCATTTACTCGTATATAGACTCTTCTTGCACTATTTCTATTTCATTTATATTTACTTGCACTGCTCAAAACATTCTCTTGCCCTATTCTATCAGCGTTATCAGTTCTATGTCCTCTATATATTCATGTTGCTCTGTTGGAGGAGGACTTCAGGTTCTCATCTCCATATCTCCACTGTAGCTGCTACATGATGATTGAGCTTTGAAAGGTTTAGTCTAGTGAACATCCATTAAAGAGTGCACTGAACCGACCTGTCCTCCGGATCTGAGAATGTAAAACAGCGTCCAGTAGTTTCCGGTCTCTCTCGTGTTCCTCTTTTGATCGAGACAGTTTCTCCTCGTACTCTGATATCGTTCTTTCAAATAGAGCAAAGATCTCTTCAGCAGCTGCAGAGAGTCTCTGCTTCACCAACGAGAGCAGCACAACACTCATGTTTAGACACACACACACACACACACACACACACAACACACACACACACACACACACACACACACACACACACACACACACATGCAGAACCCACAGCACACACACACACACACACACACACCACACACACACACACACACACACACACACACACCACACACACACACACACACACACACACACACACACACTAGCTGTTCCTGCACACACACTCCGACCCACACAGTTAATTGTGTTGTTTTTTCTCCATCAAACTCTCACACTGTTGCTAACGTGTTTCCAGCTAGCATGCTAAGCTAACTTCTATATTCGGTAAGGTAGAAGCTCCAGATGAAGCCGAACAGATCAGAGTAACATCGGAGAGTTCATCCGGACACACCGAGGCTCTGGAGGATCAGAACTGCGGGAGAAAACACATTCTTTATCGGGAGAACAAAGAGAGAAAACTGTCGCGACGAGACTCCATGTTGCTATCAGTTAGCAAGAGAGGTCACTTCCGGTTTGAGAATTTCAGAATAAAAGCAGGAAGAAAAATAACACCAAAATGATATAATGGCTTTTTAACTGCAAACTTAGTCGGTAGGTTTCCATGTGTGTAAATATTATGATGTGAAGTGATTTAAGCCTTACTCTGTCCTCCTGACTCTCTGAGGATCTGTGTCTTAGCTTCTCATTTACTATCAAAGTGTCTTTCAATAAAAAAGTCATCAGTCTGAATATCTGCTTTGATCCTAAACCTGAAACTCTACTTTAAAGAGTCCTCTCCTGCTGATGTTCAGGTGTATATCAGTATGTAGTGTCTCTACTTTAAAGAGTCCTCTCCTGCTGATGTTCAGGTGTATATCAGTATGTAGTGTCTCTACTTTAAAGAGTCCTCTCCTGCTGATGTTCAGGTGTATATCAGTATGTAGTGTCTCTACTTTAAAGAGTCCTCTCCTGCTGGTGTTCAGGTGTATATCAGTATGTAGTGTCTCTATTTTAAAGAGTCCTCTCCTGCTGATGTTCAGGTGTATATCAGTATGTAGTGTCTCTACTTTAAAGAGTCCTCTCCTGCTGATGTTCAGGTGTATATCAGTATGTAGTGTCTCTACTTTAAAGAGTCCTCTCCTTCTGATGTCACTATATTCCGGAAGTAAACAAAGGAGTCCAATGGGAGGAAAAACCCGGATAAATCTGAAATGATTCTTTATGATCTTAATCCAAGTCAGATTTTTCACATTTTAAATCCAGTAATTCATGTTATCAATATATATGGGCGGCTGTGGCTCAGTGGGTAGAGTGCTGGTCTTCGAATCAGGGGTTACCAAGTTCGAGTCCCACTGCAGTCAGCATGTCGTTGTGTCCCTGGGCAAGACACTTCACCCCAAATTGGGGGGGCAATCATTTACCACGGGGGGGCACACACTGCTGTCAACAACAAACACCAACGCAACTTCAATTTAAAAAAACATGCAGTAAAGTCTATTGTCTTTCACACACATTGCAGGAGTGTAGTGCTATTTTATAGCGCACCTACCGTGCATACATGCACGGTTGTGGCACGACCACCAACACAGAAACATATGGACATAGGTCACCATATAAAAAGTGTGCAAATGTATTTAGTATCCTATCCATGTGAACATGTTTTAGGTGGGGGGTGGACCTAACCTCCTCTAGTGCGGCTTTCACACCGGCGCTTTTCCCTTTAGCTCCTAGCTAGAGCTTTTCTGGTTCAGCTCCGGTTTCCCTTTTCAGCTCCCGCTCTGTTCACACCACCCAGCTGCCGCTGCTGCGTCATGACGTCACCGTTTACATCGCTGATTTTCTCCCCAACGGAGCTCACAACAACAACGGGGGGGGGACTGCGTCGGGTCGATGATCGTGTTGCTTTTAATCATACGAAGCCAGATTAAATTAAATAACGACTTCTCCAACCTTATACTTTTCTCCAGAGTGCCGTGGTTCATTGTTTATTAATGTGTTTTCAGCGGCATTTACCGACCGCTGCAGTGCTGGCTGCTCTTCCACGGGAGTTTATTCTCCCGTTAGCTCCGGGTTAGCTCACACGGCTCTAAAGTATTCACTGTCTGACTGTCACACAAGCAGCTGATACATATCCCCAGTTCCCCTTAAGTGAATGTGTGTCAGTCTGAATTGACGCTGTTTGGTGTCAGTCTGAATTGACGCTGTTTGGCATCACAACGCTGTTATGAAAGTTTCTCTGGTATAACATGGGTGATGTTAGCATAGCAACCGAAGCTAAACTGATTACTTGCTAAGCCGTTTTCTACAGGCACATTTTACCGGCGTATTTTTCATTATGATTCTACTTGTGATAGTCGGACATGACAACCTGTGCAGCCCATGTATTGATTCCATCCGATAGCTGCTATAATAACAAACAAAACGTCTGCCTGCTCTCCACAATGATCAATAACAGCGAACGGATGGTCAAAGTAAGGTACAAATAAACAGAATCACACGAAGCCTGGTTAGTGTTGCCTGACTTTATAAAGTGTGTGTTTTTTTTTTATAAGTGTGTGGTTGCCTTCTAGTCACTTTGCTCAGCGCTACTGCTTGTAGGCAGGCATGACGAGACTCTTCAGTCGACCCATGTTCAGGGGAGGTGGGTTTAGTTTCCTGCACGCCTCGACGTAAGAGAGACGTAAGAGAGACGTAAGCGACGCCGCGTCATAGCTCCGAAGCTCTTGCCTCTAGACCGACAATTTTTTGGAGCTGGAAGTGAACCGCATTCCGGAGCTATGACGCAGCGCCGCTGCGGTGTGAACAGGAAAAAGCGCCGGTGTGAAAGGGGCATGAGAGGGTCCGGGGGGAAGCTCCCCCGGGAAGATTTTTTTTTAAATATTGTTGTTAAATGCATCAATCTGGTGCACTTTGAAAGCAACATTAAGAGATCTATGCCTACTTCTCTCAACACCCATTTGAAACAGAACTGTACTTTGTACTTTTTCTTTATGGATATTTTACTAATCACTCCCCTTTTAAACTGTATTCTTGTGTTACTGTCCTATAGTATTTCATACCTGTTTTTTATTTAATCTCTTATTTTTTAATAACTATAATGATCATATAAACGTGTTCCTCGCAAATACTTGTTTACATAAATGATTACCAAACCGTTTGAGACCCACTGAGATAACTTAGACTAAAGTTAACTATCTAAACACTGAGAGAGTCCTTTACCTCGCTGAGCTGACGTTATAAGATCCTCTCAGTCTGACAGGAGAGGACTCTCCTCCACCTTGGTGTAGAAACAGCTCTTTATATCCGTTAGCATAGCTAGCTAACCAGATGCTAACAACAACATTCCACGTTACCGCTCGCGCACTCACACAAAATGCGCTCGTGCCACACACACACAGAGCCGAGCTTGAATGAAACACAGAGACCCAGAAGTACTTGTACTGTACTGTATATCATATTATTTTCGAAGGCTTTACTGTATAATCACTATAACGGAACGTCTACACAGCAGCGTTAAAAAAATCTTGAAACGCTTCTGCCCATTCACTTTGAATGGGGTGACGTCACTTTCCCTCACTTTTCGCCGAAATGGATTGTGGGCAGGCGAGCGGAGATTTTCAGGATTTTGAGGATTCAAAGTTGAACAATGTTCAACTTTTGAGGCTGAGGTGGAAGCGTCAGCCAATCAAATCCCGTGTACGCAAATCTGACAGTTCAGGCTCTAGCCAATCAAACGGCGTGTATGCTGGGAGAGACACCGCAGGTCATTTCCTCATATTCCAAAAAATGGAGGAGAAATTAGCGGTAGCGAATCAATCACCCGGTGCTTTATGACCAGACCTACCGGGATATAAACCGGAGGAGCCAGGCATGGAGGGAGGTGGCAGAGACAGTGGTAGGTTTTCGCCTGTTTTGGGGAGTTTATATCCAGTTTACTTCGGGCTTTTTTGCTTCGTATGTCGCGGGCGGGAGATTCATGTGATTGGTTGCTCGCAAAAAATCCTCAAGCTTCAGATACGCCCACCTCCAAGATTTTTTTAACGCTGCTGTGTAGACGTACCGTAACAGATGGACAGATCGCCACTGGGCTTTCATCTAAACACACAGCCACGTAATGATAACAAAACAAAAGTCAGGGGTCATTGGTCAAGCAACACACCAATCAGAGAGCAGCAGTGAGCACACCTCAGGCTGTGTTTTATATTTGTATTCTTTATTTCTGATTTATTTCACACAAAAAACTTTTAGTGGAAACGTTTTCACTTAGGGGAGAAGGGGGCAAGTTGAGCCAGTGGGTAAGTTGAACCACCCCCTGTAACCAGGCAACGCCTTATAGTTGTAATCACGTGACCAGAAATTATGCAAGCTCCACCCATTTCTCATTGCCTGTGAAAGAGAGATGCTCATTGTGGTCTGGTAAGTAAACATTTTTACAAAAAAACGTTTTGCTTGTCAAAGTACATTTTCTAGATGTCAGCTATATCGGCTGTCATGTCAAAAAAAGATTATCCAGGTTTAAACACATATATTGTATATGTTGATGTGTTGGCAGCGTATTAAACCATGTGAATCATTAAGCTAAAGATGACTCTGAATTTTAATGCTAGGCTATCTTTTCTAAAATGGTGGCTATGGGGTAAAGTGAACCATGGGCCTTGGGGTAAGTTGAGTCAGTTTTTCAATTGAGAAATGAATGAAAGTAGGCCAAGTTGTTAATAAGAGCTCATTGTAGGCTATATTTAAAGTTGAATTTACCCTGTGTTTGATTGGTAAGATGTATGAAATTGTATCACCATTTGTATGATTACTTTTCCTTTTAACATGTTAAAAAAAAATCAATCAATTCAATCAAAATTTTTTGAAAAACATTTGAAAAACTAAACTTGTATTTGGTTTGTTATTTATTGTTTATAGTTACCTTTAAGATTTGTTGTAGGTATGCCCAGGTTTGAACAGGTATGCCCAGGTTTGAACAGTGGTTCAATTTACCCCCTGACCCGGGGCAAGTTGAGCCACAAGACCACTTTTTTTTT